CCTGGATAACCTTGAGGTGGGTTATAAAACTTGTGCATATTAGTTAAAATGAGATCTAGCGTAGCATCGTTTCGAGTAGGTATCTTTACAATTTGCTTGAGACGAAAGTGATTTAGCAACCGGGTAACGTTAAGACGATTAAAATCGCCAGTTATAATGATTCCGCAGTTTGGATATTTTGATTCTACCAACGTGAGTGTTTGGAAAAGATGATCCAAAAATAATTTTCCATCTGCCCCAGGTGGGTGATATATTACCGCTATAATTATGCATGTAAATCCACGAGGGAGACGGGTTGGTCTCAAGTAAATCCATAAACATTCATGGTCATCACAGCAATTCAGGTCGTCCAGACGTTTATATTTATATTGTGATTCTCTAATGTAGGCACACACCCCTCCATGATTCTGCGCAATAAGGTGAAATTTGGAATATCAATGACACTGTCTGACACGGATTCTTTCAACCAGGTTTCAGTTATGAGGGCGAGATTAATTTCATTACGAATAATAAATTCATTAATTTCATCGATTTTTGGTACCAGGGACATGACATTTGTTAACATTAACTTCGGTACTTTAGGAATTCTTTGAATGGAACTGTTTAATAATAATATCGGTACCAATTCGCTTGGTCTTTCATGTTCGATGTTATACGAAAACCCTGCGCTCCAATTTTATCACAAGGCCTTGGGATGCAGAGTGCAATACAATAGTGCGGTAGAAACTTTGACGTGTTATCGTCACGGATACGGCCAGCGAATGTACTATTGGTTAGACTGCATGTAGATAATATTTCCATTCCACAAGCAGTCTTCGATATCTGGGTAAACACAGTTCAGTCTATGATTATGCTAAAATCCAAAGTTATAGAATGTAAAGAACTGGAAACTGCTCAGAAGGTTTAGGACGATTATAGTTGAATTATTTGAAATATGATGTCAATGCATTTTTAACAGGTTGTGTCTCAAGCAATCGAAAGTCAGACCGAATTGCCAGATGCAAAAGAAAGGGCAGAACAATTCAGAAACAAGTACTTGAAAAGACTGAAAGATTTGCGTAAGAAGGCGTTGTAAGTGTAGCTTAATTAGCTTTTGCAAAATCATAGTAAACCTGGAGTATGTATATACTGTACTCTTACAGCACTGAGCTGCCATGTCAACATTTATTTTGAAACATTTATTGATCTCTTCCTATTGATTGATGATCAGAACCTGTTCTTTATGACATTTTTAGTGCCTATGGAAATTTGACTGTCAGAAGTTTGTTAGATACGAGGGAACAATTTTTAAATGAATCCCAGTTTTCTGATCCCTACGCCTTGGTAAGTGCAGCGTATATATATATATATATATATATATATATATATATATATATATATATATATATATATATATATATATATATATATATATATATATATATATATATATATATATATATATATATATATATATATATATATATATATCAGTATTTCACAGAAACCTACCCGAGGGATGAATTAAGAATATTAAATAATTAATATATTGGTTAATTGGGTCTTGAAATTATCCATTAGTTCGATTATTATTTGTGCTACAATATCAGAAGGAAGCTTAATTAAGTAATGTATGGTGCACGTCAACACCTCATTATGCCCAATCAGCGCAATCTCTGACCCTGAAGCGAATGATTTCAAAATGTAATGCTTTAGGTAAAACAAAAGGAAAATGAAGCTGCTCTACTAAATTTGTCAGAGCGACTAGCAGCATTGAACAAGTTATCTTGGTACGACAGACAAATTGAAATTATTGAAGGGATTTTGGCCGGAAATGTTTTTGACTGGGGAGCTAAAGAAGTTGTAAAGTAAGTATTCTTACTATACGTGCATGTCATACGATTTTCACATCATAAACAAGCAGGAAACTGCGCGAAGGCTACGCAAAATCGTTTACGATTACGTCTACGGTAGCCGGAATCTTATTGTACTCATGAAAACTTTCCATTTTGGTTGGCTGAGACAGTTCAATTTGGCATGTATATACTGTATAATACATGTCAAGTGCCACGAAGTAACATATCCCGGGTGTCCCCAAAACTTGATTTTATGTAAGGTAAAAACTATAAAAGCTATTACACTCAAATACGTTTTATTGTATTGAGGCAAGGCTAACTTAGATTTTGATATACAGCCCTAAAAAATTCATGTAATATTTCGTGAGATACAAACGTTTGAATGTGGCGCACGCTTTAAAAATGAGTAAAAAAATCGAGAAACATGGCTGATCAAATTTATATGAAAACAAATTGCCGTTTTCCACAAAAATTAACATTTCAATTTCAGCATTTCAACTCAACTATAATTTCGGGTAATGTCCTAGCATAAATTAACCTTTCGTGTTTCTTGGGAAGCGAAATAAGAGTGAAAATTAATATAGTTATTAATATACTGTAGTTTACAAAAATTAATATAGTTAATTCGATTAACAAAAGATCAAAGAGTTTGGCTTTTATGTTTTCCTGTGCAAGACATTGTATGCGTGCAAGGGGACATACTTTCTATGATAAATGAATAAATGTTTATCCAACAATTATGTTTTTCATTCGTTCTTTTGGTTACAATAAAACTACATAATCAAGTTTAACCAAATAATATTTGATTGGCAATTTTATGCAAATTTTTAACATTGTCAAATATGCTTATTCGATTTAAAACATCGATAGCTCAGTAAATATTGCACAGATATTCAAATGTTTTATATCAAAATCTAAGTTAGCCCTTTCTGAATGCAATAAAACTTATTTGAGTGCAATAACTTTTATAGTTTTTATGTTACATTAAATCAAACAGCGCAAGTTTTTGGGGGGACACCCGGTAGTATTTTGTTAAATATTTTTACAATTATCGCATGCAGTAATCATTTGTGAATTGAAGAAACTATGTCAGTGCTTTTTTTTTTCATTAAACGTTTTAACCTAACCCTTGTTTCTGAAATTATTGGATGTAAATATTGGTGTTTCTGTACCACCTGTGTGGCCAAAATGTCTATAACTGTTTTTCAGATTAATGATGAAGGGTGATCTTCAGTTCGAAACGGCCAGGAAAAATTTACAAGGTAAAAACCCGCTTATACAGTAAATATGCAATTACCAGTACCAACAATTTCCTCATTTTCATCCTTAAAGGTTGGTGGTAGCTGCGAGCAGGCTCTATTTTTACATGCACCCCAATAAAGAGCTGATACTCGCGGGCTAGGGGTGGTGCACGTTTTTATTGTAATATTATCGGGTTATAACTAAATACATGTAAATACATCTACTGTACTATTATGTACAACATGATATATCGTAATATCTCATAATTCTAGTTGGGTTCAATTGTTTGGCGATAAATATGAGGACGAAAATAATATGCTGTCTTGTTTCATATCTATACGTAACAATCGTCTTTTAAAGTAATTACAGTATTTTATTTATTAAACGTTCTCTGACTAAATATTTATTTCTACGAGCTTTCGGCTATCAGTCTATAGCCTTCGACGGGTGTATAGCCGAAAGCTCGTAGAAATAAATATTTAGTCAGAGAACGTTTAATAAATAAATTATGTTTCAACCTGGCTACGCATTCTCTATTTTTTAATTACAGTATATTAAAAGCAAACAATGCATCAATATTTAAAACAAACTTATCTTCATTAACGTCGGCGCCTTTACTCCCTTCTTTTAGCAATTCTTTCGCCTTTATTTTATCAAAAAGCTTTTGAAATTTACAAAATCTTGCGAAAATGAAATATATTTGCAAGAAATCATCAAATCAAGGAATGTTTGCTATTTCGCTGTCGTTATGCAACGTTATAATGCAAATTTTAAATTGGACGAATCAGTGTTGGCTATTCATGACAGTCCGCAGTATTATGAGATCAGTGAGGATGACCACCCACTCAGTGACCCACGCCCGCGATCATTGATGAACTTTAGACTTCGCTAATGCTTTCGTTTCCCCCGGGTGTAAATAGCCGGGCGGAATTAGTACCCTCGCACCCTCAAATTTTACCCTTGACCATTCCCATCATGCACCATTATTTTAATTAATCCTCATTTGAGGGACTGGGTACGAGTCAGCCCTCGCACGGCGCTTCGCGCCGTTGGCTCGGGGATAATAGACTGTTCATTGTTTAACGGCTGCATGTTCGATGTTAATGTAAATAACAAGGTCAAACTCAACCTCGTACCCAGGATCTTTCTTTGGGAAAGACCCTGGCTGCGGCTGGTCACGTGCCTCAACAAAAATTTAGCGCCTGAGGGGGTGTGGGGAAAGTATCAAATTACATGAACATGCTTCCAGTGGAATATTCGTTAAAAACATAAATTTTGCGAATTATTACGTTCAAAATACTTGCTAATTTTTGTTTATTTTCTTTGCTTTGAATTTACAAGAACATTCTTACATTCTTACTAACAGTCAAGTCAAGAAACAAAGCAAATCGTTACTCGCAGTACGTGCTCTCTCGTGTTGTTATTCAATGCATGCTCTCTAAGTTCACAATCGAGCGCGGTTGTAACAAACCTTTTAATATGTAATGTTTTTAAAATACACCATAAATGATCACATAATTCGTCCTTTCTTGTAAACGTTGATGCGCTTTGTACCGATTCACTTGTTACTACGCGTCTTGTTTATAAGATTTTTAAAAGAAACAGTATTGTCTAGGACTGACCCAATATTAGCAAATGTAAACATTTGATAATAGCCGGACAGAGAAATGTCTATAAGTACAGAGCAAATTTCAGTTATTGGTTTATCTGCATTTAGTACATAATTCGTATTCGGTAATTATAGTAAGACTTTAGCCTTTTTTGGTCTCTATTAATCATTATATTGTGTTAACATACTATAATCTATATCACAAATTTACAGTGTCAGATGCGCACAGACCGTCATTGGCATCATACGAATAGACATAAATTTTCGAGTTTTCTAGCCTGCTTCTACTAACATTTTTAAAGTTTTCATTGTGAATCACCTGTTTATCTCTAATTCATTAATCATTTACTATTCATATTTATTTGATAGTTTCATATACTGAATAATGCGTTTACACACAAGCAATCCTGGATATGATATAGACGATGCAAGCTGTCCATTAAAAAATAACGGTATTCTATTTCACACAGCAAAAATTTAAATCTCACTTGTATTATAAGAATGCATATACAGCAAAAAATTAAAGCTTATTCATGTCAAAACGAAAGCTGTTTACAAAATTTATAAAGGTGGTGAACACTACTAAACAGTGCTCATTGAAAGACATGTATAATATAGGACTCATATAGTGACATATAATTTGTCGTTTGACTTATCTTTGGTGTATGATTTTAATACCGTAGATTTTCAACAGACAGCTATACTTTGACATATACCATGATCGTTTGTTTCAGCCTTTAATGCCAAGGGCCAATTTTATAGTGTTTTGACGGGCTTTAAGTTTTTTTCATAAGGCCTTTATATAGATCAACAATCTGGATACAGTTGGCGATATTTCGGAAATCAAAAGATCTCGCTATTTCGTTGCAATTCCACATCTCATCAATAAATAAATTATTTTCGTCCGAGTATCAGGATAGACTTTAATACTAATAAATAACAACCACACTGTTCGGTCTAGAGATATATATTTTCTTGTAGGTTTAATATTGCCACGCTGCACAAGCGACAAGCCGCCGCAAGCGTGCTAGTTCTTTGGCAAGTCTAGAATGAAATCTGATCCAACTTGCTTGAATTGTAACTCGACACCAGATTATAGAGTAGAACGTCACGATATAAATATTAATTTAAGAGTTCTCTTTACGATTTCTTGTTGCAAATTTACAGTAAATTTCATCACCCAAAGTTGCAATTTTAAAACGCTGCAAACACGCTCCTTTCCCACCCCTCTCACAGTTACAATTAAATTTACCTCCCAGAATCTGGGAGGCACGTGACCAGCCGCAGCCAGGGTCTCAATCTCGTTCCCCGAGCCTGCGATCCTTGGGAAGGAAACGAAGGCTCTGGGATAATCCATCTCAGAAATGAATATGATTGGTTGCTGGTATACAATGGAATGTTGCAATTTTGCAAAAATTAATTTTTAACCGTATATTTTTATATACAACATGGCGGCCGTTTAGGAGTGTACGAATATTGTTTTGGTTTTTCAGAGCTGTGCTATATACTAATACTACGAAGGAAATGCATATAAACGCATACTTAATGCGTATAATATCACAACAGTTAAATGGAGCGTGAAAACTTTACTCATATTTGTGTTGTACAGGTTTTCTGTAGTTTTAATCTATACATAGTATACAGTACTGTCAGTACACTGTACTATTTGACTATAATATCAAATATGTGCTATATTTTGCAAATACTATTTGTGTCAGAAATGGTTAATAACTTTTATTAATTTGTCTTTGTGTTATTTAATTGCGAATAACTAGCTAATGACTACTTAACGAAGAACTAGGCTCAACTAGCTAATGACTAGTTTCAATAAATCCAATCTTGGGATTTACTGTTATATATTTTATTATTTAATGTATATACTGTACTGTAAACTTTTCAAGTGCAAGAGTATGTAATACTCATTTTAACTTGTAGCATGTAACCCTTTCCTTATGGGTGCATATGAATCTTTTGCTGTTATAATTTATTTACAGAAGAGTTCAAAAAACCTTTATTCTCTAAATAAACCACAATTTCACAGGCAGTGATATTAACTTGTATTCCAGTCTGCATACACCTAATACATATAATGAATTCTTGGGTTTCAATGTTTCATTATGGCATTTTGCACGTTCTGACGGGGTCAACCTAAAATGTATTGATGCTTATGCTGTACTGGAGTGAGCAAATTATATGAAATTGCATGTATTTGCCACCAAACACAAGGCCAACACATACAGTGAAAAATTAATTCACTCTGATGACTGTGTCTCGATTTAGAGTTGACCCCCGTCAAATTTATGACGTCATATGAAACACAATAATATACAGTATAATATTACAGCTAATTGTAGCAGAAAGTATTTAATGATTTTAAATTTATTGAGTAGTACAATATGCCAAATTGGCAATCCCTTCGTTAATCTTGTCCACACAGTAATTCAAAGAAGCCCTGCCCTCTGTACGAGGTTGTATTAATTGGATTCTGTCCAAGAAAACGTCATAAACCTTTTGATCCAAATGTTACAAAGTATGAATTCCAGATTGGGAGACCATATAAATATTTTTAATAAATTCATATACTTTTTTTAAGAAATGTTCTGTTCATATTAAATGATAGTGATCAGCCACCAATACCAGAATTCATTTTCATCAACTTCCCCCTGGTTATGACCCCTGCAGGGAACCACCTAGGGTGCAGGTATAATTTTGTGATGAATGATAAAAAATTGCCCAATATAAATGCCGAGCCATAGAAATATTTTTATTACCATGGTCATGACAACTACCCTGTCAGTTTGATTGCAATATCAAAACTCGTTATTTACACTATACCTACTCTGAGAAGGGGAGAGGCAACAAAAACTCGTATATTTCAGTTTTTTCCCTTCCCATCCAATTCAAATCATGCTGGCCACGAAAACAATTTCCCGATTGCGATAAAATAAATCGCCAAATGCCTGACAATTTGGGCTGGTGACACCCCTGAATGCTATAATGATAGCAACTCTATTGCTATATCTCCAACCTTGAATGTCATATTTAGTATTAATTAATTAATGGCAGTAATCAACATGAAGTCAACTACATTTTTGGCCATTGATGAGAAATATTGTCCAGAAGTACAGTGAAATAACAAAATAGGGTGCACTAAAGAGCATTGTGGCTTAATGATCTAATGATATTTCATAGATTAACCAAAGATAGGTAGACATGCAGATGGATAGCCTGCATGCAGACTATATAATGACATAATTATGTATACATCATTATATAGTCTGCGCGCAGGCTAGCAGATGGACAGGTTAATTTAACCCATTCAAATAATTCTGGCGTTAAACAGCTTAAAATAACAAAGTAGGGCAAACTGAGGCACAATATTGCAGCTTAACTTGCTCCAACTCTATCATTACAAACTGTAAATCTTTAATTAATATAGTAATTCCTATCCAGACACAAAATTTGGTTATAATTCAATAATTTGAAAAGTGCTGTTGCATCCCTAACATACTAAACTGCTTGCAAATATTAAAACATATAATGAAAGCTGTAAGGGCAGTTAAGGATTTGGTTTATAAACTGTTAATTTCTAGAGATGATATTAAACACAATACAAACATGGAATTCACTATATTCATATTTTTAATGATATGTTTTATAAGTCTAAATTCCTTTTAATATTCCTCTGATATACAAATCTTCTGAAAACTTTAATATTATCAAGTTTTATAACCGACTTAAAATTAGAATTGAGACTCTCTTCAGGTATTTTAATACTACAGTAGCAATTTTAGCGTTAAACGGCTAAATTATGCTGGAGGAACCACAAATGTCTCTACATTTAAAGCTTTTTCAAACTGACACAGAGGTGAATGGACAAGATTACAATTAATTGTGACATTTTTCTTCGACAACAGCACTCTTCGCGGCTCCTGCCGACTCTATACTGACCCTGTTTCACACGCAATATTTTCCTTATTCAGTCACTAACACACCTTTTGTATCCCACTCTGAAGAACATCAATATTTCCACCAAAATCCCGAAAAAATCATCATTTTATAGACGAAACAGTAAAATACTTCAAACAATTTGTTTTGCTTTTGCCAACGCATGCGCAGTTCGGTCGACATACAGTTTTCTGTATGTCTGACATGGATTATCCCAGAGCCTTCGTTTCCTTCCCAAGGATCGCAGCCTCGGGGAACGAGATTGCTACTACCGGTGTACGGTAGGTAGTAAGAACGTACTCAATCTTCAATTGACTTTTGAAACCCAATCTTTCTTTGAAATTATATTTTTCACAATACGCTTTGAGGAAATTGGCAAATGGGAGTAATTAACTGTAAAAAGAAGAAAATACTTCATCGTTGTTATATTCTTCAACACGCCATTAAAAACTTGCTTTGAACGGATGCGATTTTGCTCAAAAGTGCTGTCTGAGGCCCCGTTTACACTATACCGGATTCGCTCGTCACGCGATCATCTTCTGCCGTTAAGGAGCAATGGTTAGTAGCAAATGCTTATTAGTTTGACAGAATTGGCTTGTTTATTTGGGTCTCTGAGATTAAAAATCTTCACAGCCTTTCAATGCCTACAAAATTTGACCCACTCCGATAGCAATCCAGTATAGTGTAAACGGGGCCTGAATGTGGGAAATGTTATTTCATAGAGACAAAATCAAGAATTTTACGGGGGTGTGGACGGGATGTGGTTGGTGGAAGTGGGGGTAGTGTTCAAACTCAATCTCTTTAAAAAAATGGTGCTAGACTAAAATGCAGCACTAATTTTTGACAAATGAGTATATTATAAGAAATAATATTAAGTTAAACGTTATCCTGCTCTGAAATACAGTAGTAAATTTGACACATACAGTAAGTACGCTTGCCCAACCAAGGTACTTTCGCTTTTCTACTCAGTAGTTGTGCGTCATTGTGGAGCGGGGCGTCATCCTACAACGTGGCACTGCGCCTACTGTGGAGAAAGTGCCCAATTGCTCAAAACGTTTCCCCCAGTGGCACGGTCCCCCATCGCAACTCGGGAGATACGCAATCCCAATCGTGGCTACTCGCTTCGCTTGCAGGGCTTACAGTACTGCACATTATTTTTGGTTACCTGCACAAAGGATATACAGGCATGTAGCAAGTAAAACAATGAGAAATGACCAATATAATTAACAAGGCTATCGTGCAGAGTTATAACTCTGACGAAAGAAACGAATTAGCATAACGCAATCAGCATGCGCAATTTATGGCAGCCTGTTGTTTCAACGTAATTATCATGCAGTTAAGGTTGACTTGAGAACGACAATTCGTGCAAAAAGTTGTAATGTTTCCATAGCAAATTTAGCACGAGGCCTCGACTTGGCATCAACTAGAACATAATTCAGAAATTGTATATATATATACACGTAGCACTTTTAAACAACCAGACTGCCGGGATTACCTATCCAGAACTACATTTTTGACCCAGTTAAATTGCCCAATACTCTACTACAGTTAAATTATTAGACGTTTAAGTGCCTGTGGTGGACCTTTCGAAAATATAGAAGGGGATTGGGGGAGAGCTGGAATTTAGGTTGTCAACGTAATGAGAGAGTTTCAGTCCTCAAATCTTTTATATTGTCACGAATTTCCTTCACCAAAAGGACACAATGCTTCTGTAGTTAAAAAATTCTAATTTAGTTACTTTGTGAAAAACGTATTAATCGGCAGTTTTATATAGAACATATAAGAGGCCGGGTCTTAACTAGAAGACCATGTCAAAATGGGAAAACGCGGCAAATTGAATCAAGCGAAAGTGGCTTCATTCTTTATGTAAAGCCGTAATTGGTAAAGTGATCTGTGCTTTTATGTTTAGATGGATATGTAAGTAATGGGAACCGCATGGTAATAAAATGGCTTTAAATGCCTCTGGAGTTCTTAACATAACTCACTGTAATCTCTGTACGAAATGTGAGCGTATGCTCGCCTTGTATACAGGTTATAAGCATAGAACAACCATGCACATGCAGGCATACTCCATTATTGGCAAGCATAACTGGAACCAAGCATTTGGCTATTCTGGTAATTGGAACGTATACGCCCTTGAAATTTAGAAACACTCCCAAAACTGAAAATCCTACCTAAGACCCTGATTAGGGGGCGCTAAGGTAACCTTCAAAGAACATCTTTTTGTTATAATTGTAGATTCGTAATGGCTACTGCCTTCACTTCAACTTCTATATCCGACGATGAAAGAAGATGGGTTGTCATTGGTGTATGTTTGACCAAAGTGCTCACTCCTGCATTGAGGAATGTTCTTGCAACCGAAATACCAAACTGGCATCAGGTTTTATGTCAACCACCAACCGAAATTGACAAACAAGTTTATGGTCGACAACAAGTACAGTTAAACCCATCAACTTTAGACCTCAAGTATAAAAATATCAACAACAATGATGCCCTTAGATCACCTCGTGCATTTAATTATGCAGTTACAGATCCGTTGTCTTTGGCAAAGTTGTTTGTTCAGCCATTCATGTCCAAGTTCACTGGCTTTGATCGAACAATGGACATATCTGCAGTCTTATCAGTGATTTGCGAAGCTGCCCCATTTGTTGGAGCTGCTGCTCATGCAAAGACAGTTCGATCAGATATCAGAAACGAGTGGGCACATTGCAATTTTGCAAATTGGACTGAAACAAAATTTATTGCTGCTTTTCAAAGTATGGAAACTTTACTTAAGAATGTGAATTTGTCACCTGCAGATGAAGAGAAATTGTGTGATGAGCTGAATAGTTGGAAAGATAAAGGTAAAGAAATTACAATTCACTTGCTTGAAGTATGCCTAGATAAAACTGTCTGATTTACTGCGCACCTAAAAACCATATATTTAGAGAGATTTGCAATGAAGATTAATTGCTTACCATCATTAAATGTTTACATCAACCTAACATATTATCTCCTGTTTTGGACGGAAATTGCCTGTGTAAAAAATGCAATTATAGGCCCAGCTGGAATCGCTCTAACAAACTGCGCTAAGCAGAGACCAGTGGCCGACTCAGGGCTCACATTGATACCAGTTCCCCTGAACTGACGTGACTACGCTGTAGGTGAAATAAAGTTTATTTGATTTGATTTGATTAAACAGCAAGTTCAACGGTTAAAGCTCGTCTGTTTGACTCGGTTAGAGTGCTGCCCTGGATTCGCAGGGCTGCAAGTTCCGCTCCCTATTGTTGCGTTTTTCCCAGTCGCTCTTGGTTTGGTTTAAAAATGAATAAAATTTATTATACTTGAAATTTGTATTTACAAAAGCCGTACAACATTTAGTTTTATCAAATGAGACTCTCCAAATCATGGAATCTCCTCAATTATTTATTAACCCCGGTTGCCTATAGTTGCATTTTTCACATGCAGCTGCTCTTGGTTTGATAGGTCTAAGAATGTATAAAATAAATAAATATTTTACTGCCACTGGAAATTTCTTTTAGCGAAAACCATTCAACATTCAGTTCTATCGAATGAGATAATTTTTATAAATAAATAAAAATAAATAAATTTGTTACAGGGTTGCAGTTGTGTTTCGGTCAACCTGTCGACGTTGAAATCTTAACTTTACTCAGAAGTGAAATCGACGAAGTTCGCGAAGCTGTGCAGACATGGATGCTAAAGAAAAATCAGGTTTTAATTTATTTGGTTAATCATAACAATTAGTATACCTCTGTACACTTTGTTCCGCGTAGGCGTTTTTTCTCTCAGAAGACCAGTAGAGGCTTTCGCTCGAAACCTTGAAATTCTATTTTTCAGGTAGTTGCATCATACACACAAGTTCTCAGTTTGCATTCTCCACCATTCGCTGGGACCCAACACACAGATTAATATTTAAAGTGTCGATCAACTGTGAAGGACGAAATAAATATTACTTATAAATTAAAAGTTCCTTTGCATAACGTAAAATATTTGTCATTTTACAGATGACAACACTACTTTCGAATATTAGTGAGATTCAGTCAACCTTGAATGATGAAATAGATGATCTGCGCAAGAGAGTAAAACAATGCGAGATTCAGGGAGCTAGCAATACCTTGAAAATACAAAACCACGAGATTCAGGGAGCTAACAATACCTTGAAAATAGAAAAATTCCAGATTCAGGGAGCTTGCAATACCTTGAAAATAGAAAAATGCGAGATTCAGGGAGCTAACAATACTATGGAAATAGAAAAATACAAGACGGAGGCAACTAGCAATTCCTTGAGAATAAAAAGAAATTCTGAAGAAATAAAGCTTCTTCAGAAGAAATGTACGACGGAACTTTCAAGATGTTATATTAAGAAAGAGGAAAAAATTCCCTATGTTTTCACTGCACCCCCACGAAATCGTTATTTCGCTGGGCGAACTGCAGAAATCCAGGAGCTTGAAAGTATTCTGAAAGTTGAGGAAACTTTGAACGAAAAGAAAGTTCGTGTTGCAGCAGTATGTGGTTTGGGTGGAATTGGTAAAACAAGCTTAGTTTCCGAGTATGCTCATCAGATGAAGGATTTCTACAAAGGAGGTGTTTATTGGTTCTCGGCTGAAGATGATACGTTTCTTGAGAAAACAGTAAACGACGTCGCATTAAAGATTGATGCGTTACTTGGTTCATTTGATTTAACTTTGTTAAATACATTGAAGAAAATTAGCAGTTCACATGATCCATGTCTTATTGTCCTCGACTGCTTGGATCAACTGGATCTGTCGTCGAATATGATGAAATTTCTTTCCTTTCCTGCGCAGGAAAATATCTTTGGACATTTTGTCGTGCTAACAAGAAGAATCCCAAACCTACTTGCTAATGAAGTTTCAGTCTTTGAGAAGAATTCTTGTCTTCAACTCAAATGTTTCCTCTCTAAAGAAGCAAAGGAATTTCTTTCTTCGAGAACTGGTGTGAATCTTGATGATAATGTGGAGAGTGTCGCAGAATGTCTTTGTGAAGAGCTGGGGAGACTTCCACTTGCTTTGGAACAAGCTGGAGCTTGTATTGATATGCTCAGTTGCACTTTGTCCTCATACCTGGAGCAATATAAAACTGAACGCTTGCGACTGCTGAGTCAGCAACCGGCACGCTCTGTATCACCAGGTAAAGAGTCATCTGAATGTTTGGCAGTTCACACGACATGGCTTATCAATATGGAGTATATGAAGAAGCGCCCGAATGGTCATGCTGCTATTCGATTTATGAATGCTAGTTCATTTTTCAATGGAAGTGAGATTGAAGAAGAGTTGGTCAACGTTGGAACACCCGAAGTGGAGGACGTCGCGTATCGCAAATGCGTGTCATCACCATTGGGTTGCTGTCAAGTTCTAAAATTGTTGACTGACTTTTCACTTTTTACGTATGTCGAAGCACGCTCTGTCAGCACCCATCGTTTAGTCCAGGAACTAGTCAGAGAAAGTCTTAATCCCGAATCAAAAGCAGAGAGTTTTACTGATGCTGTGCGGATGCTTGCTTATGCATTCTGTAAATGTTCTTCACCCAGTACTCTTGTAAATCTAGATGAAAGGATTGGTGAAGAACAAGACATATCTTCCTCAGATTTACCTAGTTGTCCTTCTCACTTTTATATGTGGTCTAAGTTTTGTATGCATGGTCATCATCTCTGCAGAAATATGGAGGATCTTTTTTTTTTCTGTGTTGGTGTAGTGTACTCAGGTGAATATGATATTTGTGGTGTTACTCTGAGTGTATATCCACACCGGGCGAGCTTGAAAAATATGCCCGGCCACGGTGGGATTCGAACCTACGACCTTTGGAATACTAGCCCAATGCTCTTCCAACTGAGCTACGCGGTCGTCCTGGCTCGAGTAAGTGATATTTCGGAACAGGATCTAGTTCCTTCGATACCAATGTATTCTATTAATATGAATTTTTTTCTGTGTTGGTGTAGTGTACTCAGGTGAATATGATATTTGTGGTGTTACTCTGAGTGTATATCCACACCGGGCGAATCCCACCGTGGCCGGGCATATTTTTCAAGCTCGCCCGGTGTGGATATACACTCAGAGTAACACCACAAATATCATATTCACCTGAGTACACTACACCAACACAGAAAAAATTCATATTAATAGAATACATTGGTATCGAAGGAACTAGATTCTGTTCTGAAATATCACTTACTCGAACCGTTTTGACCGCGTAGCTCAGTTGGAAGAGCATTGGGCTAGTATTCCAAAGGTCGTAGGTTCGAATCCCACCGTGGCCGGGCATATTTT